GACGAGGTGCGCGCGGGCGCCTTCGAGCATCTGCCCAGCCTGCGCCAGCTCGACCTCAGCCACAACCCACTGGCCTACCTCAGCCCCTTCGCTTTCTCGGGCAGCAATGCCAGCATTTCGGCCCCCAGTCCCCTTGTGGAACTGATCCTGAACCACATCGTGCCCCTTGATGATAAGCGGCAGAACCGGAGCTTCGAGGGCATGGTGGCGGCGGCCCTGGTGGCGGGCCGTGCACTGCAGGGGCTCCACTGCCTGGAGCTGGCCAGCAACCACTTCCTTTACCTGCCGCGGGATGTGCTGGCCCAACTGCCCAGCCTCAGGCACCTGGACTTAAGTAACAATTCGCTGGTGAGCCTGACCTACGTGTCCTTCCGCAACCTGACACATTTAGAAAGCCTCCACCTGGAGGACAATGCCCTCAAGGTCCTTCACAATGGCACCTTGGCTGAGTTGCAAGGTCTGCCCCACGTTAGGGTCTTCCTGGACAACAATCCCTGGGTTTGCGACTGCCACATGGCAGACATGGTGACCTGGCTCAAGCAAACAGAGGTGGTGCAGGGCAAAGACCGGCTCACCTGTGCTTTTCCGGAAAAAATGAGGAATCGGGTCCTCTTGGAACTCAACAGTGCCGACCTGGACTGTGACCCGATTCTTCCCCCATCCCTGCAAACCTCCTATGTCTTCCTGGGTATTGTTTTAGCCCTGATAGGCGCTATTTTCCTCTTGGTTTTGTATTTGAACCGCAAGGGGATAAAAAAGTGGATGCATAACATCAGAGATGCCTGCAGGGATCACATGGAAGGGTATCATTACAGATATGAAATCAATGCGGACCCCAGGTTAACAAACCTCAGTTCTAACTCGGATGTCTGAGAAACATTAGAGGACAGACCAAGGACAACTCTGCATGAGGTGTAGACTTAAGCTTTATCCCTACTAGGCTTGCTCCACCTTTATCCTCCGCTATAGACACCACTGACTTTGACTAAAAGCAGTGAAGGGGTTTTGCTTCCTTGTTATGTAAAGTTTCTCGGTGTGTTCTGTTAATGTAAGACGATGAACAACTGTGTATAGTGTTTTACCCTCTTCTTTTTCTTGGAACTCCTCAACACATGTGGAGGGATTTTTCAGGTTTCAGCATGAACATGGACTTCTTGCTGTCTGTCTCTCTCTCAGTACAGTTCAAGGTGTAGCAAGTGTACCCACACAGATAACATTCAACAAAAGCTGCCTCAACTTTTTCGAGAAAAATACTTTATTCATAAATATCAGTTTTATTCTCATGTACCTAAGTTGTGGAGAAAATAATTGCATCCCATAAACTGCCTGCAGACGTTAGCAAGCTCTTCAAAATAACTCCATAGTACACAGGAGCACCTGCATCCAAGAGCATGCTTACATTTTACTGTTCTGCATATTACAAAAAATAACTTGCAACTTCATAACTTCTTTGACAAAGTAAATTACTTTTTTGATTGCAGTTTCTATGAAAATGTACTGTTTTTTTTTTTTTAAATAAACTGCATCGAGATCCAACAGACTGAATTGTTAAAAAAATAAAATAAAAGATTCTTAAAAGAATTACGGTGTGTGCAAGTTTGCTTTGAAAAAAGGATTAAGGGCAGGGTATTCAATGGCCTTGGTTCCGATGATAGTTATTACTTAACATAGCTGAGAATCAAACTGTAGCAATGTCTAATATAAATAGATTTGGGAGATCGCCTTGAGATGGTGGATCCTTTTAGTATTTAAATGGAGAGTTTGAGTATTCATGTGACTATATGGTCCCAAAGTTAATGCTATTTATGAAACAGTTTTGTAAGAGCATAATGAATTGATTAAAGCTAAGCGTTCTGTACAATAAGCAGTTCCCAGTTTGGGGCTTTTTCAAGGCTAATGAAGTTATTGTTGGTCTAGAAAAATAGTGTTTACTTAATAAAACTCTGAAATTGTTCTGTGGATTTTTAGAGCAGAATTTGAAACAAATATGCAAATAAATATGAAGATAAATGTCTTAAAGATAGACTATTCTGAAATAAAAGATATAAAATATAAATTTAAAAAATATTTCTCAATGTCATAATGTAAATTGAAACTTAGATTTTCTTGAGGATATTTTTTAAAAAACATTTAAAGTGGAACATAAATGGTCTTTAGTTTATCAGAGACCCAGCTAATATGTTTAAAAAGTTGACATGGTTGAATATGAACTTGAGGAAATAACCGCAGATAAATGCCTACATCTGTCAACAAATGTCTGAAGTATTTATAGGTTCTTAAGTTCAGTGTTTTAAGAATTTGAGGATATTTTGATTTTAGCTAAGCTCTTCATGATGTAAGTATATACACCTTCGTGAAGAATAAATCACAGGTGTAAATACAGGCAATCATTAATTGATACCATCCATAATATACAAGGCTTTTGTTTTTTGTCAGTTTATTATCTGCCATTTAAGCTGAAAAGTAAATTCCATTAATCAATCTTCAAGCTCTTTTATCGAGTGATTTAAATGTAGCCATTACTGCTTAACTGAAAGCATTAGGTAAACTTCCATCAGTAAGTCTTAGGGCCTGCTTTTCCTTTGAACTGGTTATGTCCTTCAATGCTTTATGTTTGAAATAAAATCTACATTTTCTTATTTTTATAAATAAAATAGGATCAGATAGTATTTTAGGTTCTAGAAATCTGCTGATTCCTTCTTTGAATTAAATTCAGAAATTTTCAAAGTAGGGCTAAAAATAAGTAAATCTCTTCCTTTTTATAGGTTAGATTATATAGTCAGAATATGAAGCTGTAATTCCTTAAATTCCATCAGGCTTGTTTTATGAAATACAGTATTTATTATTTAAGGGTTATATTTCAGATCCTATAATTACCTCAGAAAAAGCTAAATATTTGGCACTTAAAATTCCGTCAAACAGTTTAAGTGTTCGTCAGAAATTCCTACTGTCTGGTTGCCATTATTTAACAAGAACAATGCGATACTAATCTGTCAAAAATAGTGACCACTATCTTAGCAAACTGTTGATGGACTTCAGTTGGTAAGTCTTCTGATATTGTAGAAACAAATTATAATATTGATAGAGCCTCTGTTGAGAAGAATTGTTTCTTCATCACATGATAATCTAACAGTTTAAAGTGGAGCTTTATTTAAGAACCAGGAAAGGAGTAGATTTGTTAGTGTAGCTTTTCTCATCAACTCCTTGAAGCAATGATGAATCTGATAAAGTGAAGCCAAGTTATCCCTATTAGATAGATGACTTCTTTGAAGTTATAATTTATTGCTTCTTTTTCATGCCCCTACTTATTCTTTTGTATGGACTTTCCAATTACCACTGCTTTGTTTTCCATCACATCACTCCTTCCTGTTCTCCAAAATATGGAAATAAAAAAGTCAATAAAAAGAAAGAACACCTTATTCTTAAGATAAAAATTGTTATTATTTGACAACATTAATATTTTGCAGGCCTAATACTTTTAAGTCTGTAAGTCTACAGAACATTCTAAGTTCCTTGGAAGATAGAGGCTGTATAAATTCAATAAGTATAAGGGAATATGGGAAAAATAAAAGTATCACTTTATTTAAAAATAAGACAAGTCTGTTTGTTTTAAATACTGTTCTTATTATTAATGCAGTATTGACTCTAGAAACCTGCAAATATCCATTTTTAATATTTTAGTTGGTAATACTCTTCATTACTGAATGTAAAATTTTCAACATAAAACGCCCTTCATTTATCCTTTACAAGTTTCATATGAAGAAAGTTAGAAAAAATACTTAGAAATTCAAGGACTTGATAAATCCCTTAATTTAAAAAGCTATTCAACTCTCCCATAAATTTTTATTTTAAGTAGGAAACATTTTAGGATAATACAGTTTTTTGGCCCTGAATTATAACTGCCCCCTTTGATAGTATCCATTCTGTTTGCAGCATTCGTTTTTGTAATAGTTTGGCTGCTGTGGGTGTGATTCAATGGTAACCTATAAGGCAAATTTGTACAGGAGCTGATAGATTTTTGTAACAAAATAAGGAGACTTTGAAGCACATTGAATAGGATTTTTTAAATGAATAGGAGTTTTTAAGGAAAAAGAGTAGGAGCTGGGGGGGAAGGCTGTTTGAAATAAATGAGCAAATCACAAATAATAAATCCTTTAGAAATATCTTTATTGGCAGTAAGTGTGGATTATGCTCATCTCAGTATTTAATTAGAAATAACATATCTTTGTCTTCTGTCTTTTTAATTAAAGTGGCTGTAAAAAAGAAGGTTCAGATGAATTGAGATTGTTTCCTTAGAAATTGTTTGACTCTTTTCCTTTGACCTAAAACAGGGCTTACCTTGTTGAGGACCTTGGCTTTGCAACTCTAGATTGTGACTCTTTCATATCATTTTAGTTTTTCTCCCAAGACTACACTAAAGGAGACATCATGAGATTTGCAAGGTTAAAAACGATTTTGCACGTGCTTCCTCCTGCTCCGAAATCCAGTCATCAGCTTTCAGAGCAGCACCGTAAAGTGAAGACAGACATTTATTAGATGAAATTCTGGTTTCACTTTTACACTTGTGCAAGGATTTTTAACAGTAAAGGAGAGGAAAGGGAGAAAGTTATGTTTCTAGATAATATATGAAAATTACCTTGATACTGTATTTTTAAGATCTTTCACCAATACTTGCAGTGCTGCACTAGAAATAATTAGTTTAAGAAAATACTTTCCACATTGTCCAGGTGATCCTGTCACCTTTTAGATGAGGAAAAACATCTTCTTGAGGATGTTTTGTACAGTTATTTTCCCATTGTTACTCTTAGAGACTTTTGTTTCAAAAAGGCAGGCTCATTTTATTTTGTTTTATCTTAGAACATTTTAGCAGCTCTTTGTCATGGGTTAAAAAAATCTAGAATTAAAAAATGTTTAACATGATTTGTATCATTTTTGACAAGAATACAAATTCTTAGTAGTTCAAAATTGGAAGGGCTCTTAGAAGTGTCAAGCTCAGCTTTCTATTCTACAAATGAAGTAACTGATAATTGTGACTTACTACGTTATACAGTGACAACCAGGACAAAATCCTAGGGTTCTAGATGCCCCTTCTGGTGCTGTTTTTACCAGATGATGGCATTACTAATTGCCTGCCTTGAGGCCTTTGAAATCCCCATGTCTATAATAAAGAAAGGCAATTGCTTTGGTGAATTTATTTGTTTTATTGTTTTTGCTTTGAGGGAATGCTTCAGTTTGCTCTAGATTTTACTTTCAGTTTGTTAAAAATTACCATGTTTAAACCCTCCGAAAACATTTAATGTTGTCAAAATGATTTTTTCATAACAATCTTACGAGTCTATGATATAATAGGAAATATTTTGGAAATTTAATGGTGATATTTCTTTGGAAAAGAAAAATAAAAACTCTGGAATGCTGTGCTGGTTTGTGTAATTCAACCTTAAATGTGAGTTAGCTCAGCTGGTGAGAAAACTAAACAAATGAGACCAAGTTCATGACCATGAAGTCAGTCAGTCACCAGGTGAGACAGTCAGCTTTGCATTCTCTGCACTGTTCTCCTAGCTCACGCCCACTCCAGGTGCATGCTGCTATCCTCCAAGGGCCTGGACCAAACAGGGAAGTTAAATCAATGCAAATCCATTATCACCCTGGAAGACCAGGGGACTGACCAGCCAAACACTGCCAGCTCGACTGCTGAAGTGCCAGTTTACTGTCTTTACATATGCAGGACACACACTACATCTCAATTTTCTCACATCGTGGTATTTATGCTGCAGATTGCAAAAGACTTATAATTTATGTGAATTTGGGGAATCTAGCATGAGTACCTTTCAAGGTATTGCATGGGAAATTAATTAGGTTTGCTTTATTATTTTAAAAAAGTGTGGGTTAAGATTAAGCATCATGATTACTATATCATACACTTACACATAAATGTTTATAGAAACAGAAATACAGTTTATATTTAGCTGACATTTTATGATGATAGGACTTACTTATGGTCCACAATTTAACTTGGTTAATGTAAGGAACCATTTGGTCTAAGGAAGCAGAAGCTTAAGATATGACCCTCTGTAATACTTTTTGTGAAAAGTAAATATTAAAAATACATTTTAAAGGACCGAGGATGTTATCGAGATAGGCTTTAAAAATAACAAAAACAAAACGGAAGTTTATAGATTTATTTTACCCCTTCCCCTTACAGTCCTCTTTTTTTTTTTCTTTTTTGACAGAGTCTTGCTCTGTTGCCCAGGCTGGAGTATAGTGGCATGATCTCAGCTCACTACAACCTCTGCCTCCTGGGTTCAACTAATTATCCTGCCTCAGCCTCCTGAGTACTTGGGATTACAGGCGCACACCACCACACCAGCTAATTTTTGTATTTTTAGTAGAGATGGGATTTCACCATGTTGGCCAGGCTGGTCTTGAACTCCTGACCTCAAGTGATTCGCCCCCCCCCCCCCCTCCCCTCCCAAAGTGCTGGGATTACAGGCGTGAGCCACCATGCCCTGCAGTCAGTTCTGTTTCTATTACTTTTTACTTTCTTCCTCCAAAGAGAGCCATGACCCACATTTCAAGGTGAC